TTCCGCGGCCTTCGGATACTTGCCGACCAAGCAAGGGAATTCGCGGATGACGACGGCGAGTCGTCTCTCGCCTAAGGTACACTTGGCCTTACAATTCTTTGTCAGAAACTATTTCGGGATAGAAAACGCAGTAACAGGTACGGCGGGCAAAGAGCATCCACGGGTTATTTGTAGCACCGTACGTTGATAGCTGGACCCTGCTATACTATGACAACGACGTTACGCCGGGATTCCACCATCACGAATCCGCAGGCACAGCTTTAATTTTCACACCATTACTAGGGCCACACATGCACGAATCATCCAATGTCTTAAGTCTTCAGAACCCTTAGCAGGCTTCCATAAAGACCTATCAAAATCTGAGGATCTGGCGGACACGCCAGCCTCGGGCGGCAGCGCTAAGAGGGATAACTACCTCCAGCGCAGGCCGCACTCGACGGCAGGCTACCGACTGTCGCTGAGGAGCCAGAAGCGGATTCGGAAGCACATATTGTGGAAACGCCGTATTTAGAACTCCACGAGGATAAGGGGCGACTTGAGACTCTTTCACGGGAATCCGTGTGTTCTGTACCCGCTGAGACGACTATAGACAACCATGCGCTCGTGACTTTGGCCAGTGAGGAGCATGGATACTCGCGAGAGATAGGCCGCGCTCGCCACTGCGACGCTGGAAAATGTGCCGGGTACGTTGGACCACGGAATAGGACGAAACCCACGATTTGGATTCGGACGAATACGGTCAGTATGTTGAGCTATGCTTCACAACTGACATGCATGGTTAAATTTGCTCTGGCGGAGCAACGACGCGAATCGTTATGCAACTCCCAGATAACCACGGTGGCCGAATATGTCTCAGCCGCAGCGAGAAGAGCCGCGGCCGTCACAGAGGACGACCACCTGACAAGGCAGAACTACACTCTTTCAGCCAAGATATCCAAAGCCTTGCACGCAGCATTCAAAATCTGGCACGACAGTGCGTCAAGACGCAGGAGATCGACAACGCCGCAGTCATTGCGACATCCAGATATACGCACAAATTGAAGTTCGCGAAGAAAGACAAATGGTGACGTGGAATGAACCATGCGACTCCGTCTCGCCCTTCGCGCTGCCATGGACGTCGAAGCATTCGACGTGGAAGCCTCCTTGGGCACAGCTCGAGCTAGCCGCGGATTGATCGCAAACGCGGGCGCGCGCAAGAAACCGCGGATCGTGGCATCCACGGACATCGACGAGGCTTCCTTGAAGCTCCTCACTTCCAGCGAGCTGGCAGAGGCCGCTGGAGAGAAAGAACGCGCGGCCTGCTCCACTTTTCCACCAGGCCCAGCCTCGGTGCTGCGAACATTGCCCGGTGTTGCGCCTCATTGCGAATCAAAGCGCTGTCGACAGCGCCTGAAGCCAGGCGCCGGCACCAGAGATGCCCCGAGGGCGTTCTCATTGACACCCAGGACCATCACTCGACGCTTCAAACTGAAACCCACGCCATACGACGAAGACGTCGAGACGAGCGCAAATCCACTAACAGCCGAGCACGTTGACGACATAAACATGGCAGGGATACGATAGACCAGATGCCAAATGTGTAGAAAGTACGATCGGCGCATGTAAGCCGACACAAACTTTGCAATGCGAGCTGCGCCGCGCGCTACACTGAGACCGAGGGCGGCCGCGCCCAGCTAGCTCGGGACGAATGGATCAACCAACTTCGGCCCCTACAGCACCCAGAACTTACGGGCGCTGCAGCGGAAGCAAAGGCGACGGGAATGGTGTCCGATACGCTCATCAGTGCACGCGGCGCGTTAGCGCACGCATCAATCATGAAGGCGTGGTTGATGGTATACGTAGTTCCCTAACGCGCGCGGGAACCCACGAACCTTCGAGTGCGAAGACTCAACGCTGGAACACGCGAAATGCAACAATGTCTAAAGAAAACATGGATCAACGCGCCTAATGGCAAGGCAGTTGTACATCTCATCGATGCACACTGCAGGCCACGCCGCTCGCAGGCACGCCCCAGCTACTCAGCTGAAACATTGGCGGCAGCTCAAAATCTTGCAGACTGCTGCCCCACCACTGCGACGCTACGCGAGCTCAGCTGGACCGCGTAACGATTTCACAACGTGGCCATCCTTATCATGGCCATGTGGCATCTGCATCATGGCTATCCGTATCATACACGCTGAATCGGTATTCAAATATCTGTTAAGTAAGGACTTGAAGAAGCCCACCGAATGCACCCTGCTGGGACATATCCGCTGGATAAGACAAATGATGGACAGAGGCATCGTTCAGAGCGCACAGTGGCGCGATACACGGGATATGACAGCCGGCGGCCATATTGAAGGACGAATTGATCGTGAGATACGATTGCAAGTCATGGTAATCAGCCCTTCAAGTACGAGGTAAAGAAGTACGTACCCTATCGAGGCAGCTGAACGACAGCATCAACATAAGCATGCCCAAGCTAAGGCCAGTGGATACGGGATATGATTGGTGATCCCATCGCCAATCTAAGCTTGGACACGGGTTACTTATACCCACTTGCCCGGACACGGATCACTTTTCTGGGGCACCTGACGACTCAGTCGGGCATCTTTATTTACCCTACAAAGCTTTGCGCGCTTTGACGCTTGACATTTGCCCAGACGTCCCCTTAAGTATCTTCGGACACTCACGGGGCCTTGCCCATGACTATCCATATTTACTGGCGGTCAGTCACGCGGTCTTGCCCATGACTGACCATAATGATATGCGGCTGGTCGTGTGGTCTTGCCCACGATTGGCCCTGATACGGCGCGCTGTTCGTCCTTGCCTTGACTGCGCACCGCTAGGGATGTTTGTTTATATATATATATACATATATATATATATATATATATATATATATATATATATATATATATAACACACACACAAAAAACAACAACATTTTTTTTATATAAAAAAAAAAAAAAAAAAAAAAAAAAAAAAAAAAAAAAAAAAAAAAAAAAAAAAAAAAAAAAAAAAAAAAAAAAAAAAAAAAAAAAACGCTCTCCTTTCCTGCGTTCTTACATATGATTTGGTTTTGCGGTTAGGATCTACCGTTCGGCCCTTCCCCTCCCGATTTTGAACGTTAGTAAAGGCGGGTTGTATAGCGAACGCTATATCCGCCGCCGCCTCGGTTCAAGGTACCGCTACCCCATTTGCCTGTTTCACGACAGCGAGACACTATTGCATGTGAGCGTGGGTAGAGGCCACGTCCACCGTGGATCCACTTCTCTAACCCATGCGTTGTCTCTCGCCTCCCATGTTGCTTGCCGTCGAGGGATTACCTGTGGGATGCGTCGAGACGTCCCCTACGTTATCCTAAGAGCAGGGGTCTCAGCTGATTACCTAATGTTCAAGCCCCTGACCTTTGCTTTAAACTTTGGAGGCATTTTGGGCCGTCTTGGGGCCATGGCGGGCGTCTTGGAACAACGTTTCGGCAATCGCGGCCGTCGTGGATCGTTTTGGGGGCATTTTGGGAGGCTTCAGGTCCAGGGGTTACGTTGGAGGTCCAGGGAGCCTGGGTGAGTTCGGGGTTGGACCACCCGGGGCCCCCAGTGATTCGGGAGGTGGACCACCTGGCGCCCAGCTCCCAGTTTGCAGTGTCAGGGGGGAATACGAAGGGAAAAATCTCACACGCTTGGAGACTCACAAAAAGTCGGCGGATTTCACCACATAGGTTGCTTCTCCACAACGCGAATTGCACGACATGCATTGCACCACATAGATTGCTCCTTATAGATTGCACAATAGCACGCCGCAGATGGCACCGCAGTTGGTAATCCACACAGATATTTCAACATACATTGCACCACACGGGTTGCACCACATAGGTTGCACAACCGATCATGCACAACATACGGTGCATTGCGTAAATGTTCCCACGCAGGTTGATCCACCAATAGTGCACAACAGACACTGCACCACGTACAGTGCACAAAATACGCACCACATAGATTGCACCACATCGATTGTTCCACATATATATATATATATATATATATATATATATGTCAGTCTAGATTGCTAGAACCACAGCGTTTGGGGCCCACGCTGGCTAACACTTTTCTTTCTTTTTCTTTCTCTCTCTCTCTCTCTCTCTCTCTCTCTCAAGATACGCAATCCGTTTACGACGTCGGCCTTCCTGCTAAAGGCACGCGGGCCTTTTTTTCCCAGCGAGTTCCGGATGGGCACGGCAATCGGTGCCGATCGGGAGCAGCGCACTATAGCGCAACGACTAAGGAAAACGAGGACGAAAGAGGACGAGGAGAAGGAAGGAAGGGGTCCCCCCCTTTGGTGCCTGTCTCGAGGCCGTTCGAGGGTCTTTTGAGCCCCTCTTGGGAGCTTGGGGCCCGTTTTGGAGCGATGTTGGGAGCTTCTCGGGTCGTCCTAGACGCTTTTGGGGCCGCAGAGGTGGAAATGCAAATTTCAGATAGAAACAAAAATTGTTTCATCTGTCTGGCCTCCTGGGAAGGCCCCCGCGGACTCGAACACAACCCAAGGGGCCACCACGAGAGCCCCAGGACGGTCCACTGGGATTTGTTGGACAAATGTGGATCCACAGCCATGGTCCATAGGCCTTTGAGCAAGTCACGAGACGCACACCAGAAGTCCCTCAGAGTGCCCAGGAATTCTTTGTGCTGGGGTATCGGGCTTGCCAGTGGCAGTCCTCTCACACCCCTGTTCAGAATAGCTCCGGCCGCAGGACGGGCTTTCCACGCGTCGCGTGTTCGGCGCATCTCGACCCGCGCTCCACGGGATGATGGTTGCCGTCCTCCGCTTTGCGTTGCGAGGGGAGCATGCAAGCATTATGTGTATTTATGTGTACATATATATATATACATATATATTCTGCGTCTTTATATATATATATATATAGAGAGAGAGACCTGCGTTGACAACTCGAGGGGGCCTGAGAACGCCCCCCTCAGTGCCCACGGGACGGCGGCTGCCCTGTCCTCTCCGCCGCGATGGTGCAGGAGATGATCTGCGTCAATTGCAAGAAGCCCGGGCACAAGTCGCGCGACTGTCCCGAGCCCGTCGACGAGGCCGCCCCGCCGAGCCCCCTATCCTGTCTTCTCTCCGTGGGCCCCGCCCCTGCCCGCCTCCCTCCGGCCTCCCTCCCCCCCGCCCCCCTCCCACATCGATCCCTCCACCCTCCCTCGAGTCGCGCGCCTCCACCCTTCGGCCCGTCCGCTCCTCCGTTGCTCCACCCTCCGCCCCTGCCCGCGACCCCCCTCTCCTGGCGGTGCCCCTCCCCGCTACCGCCTGCCAGGCCTCCCCTCCCTGCTCACCCCCCCCGTCCCTCCCTCTGCGCACGCCTGGCTGAAGGTGTCCCGCTCGGTTGCTGCCGCGGGTGCCCGAGGTGGCCTCGCGTCCTGCAGGGAGGCCCCCAGAGGCCCCGGACCCCCGAGAGGCCCGGAGTGGCCACAGTCGGGGGTTCGCAGAGGGAGGGTTGTCCAGAGGTGGGGCTGGGGAACGGGCCCAGCTGGATGCTCCCGTTCAACGCGTTTCCTTTCTTGCGGCCGTTCGGAGCGATCTCCTTTCCAACCCCACCTCTGTCCTGACCCCACCTTTGTGTCCCCCGAGAGTGGCCACTGAGGTCCCAGGATGGGCAGGAAGCTGCGGGGGGGGCTCCGGCCACGAGGCATTTCCGTCAGCACCTGGTCCCGCGCGTCTCGCACGACGTTGCCCGCCCAGCTCCCCCCCTCTCTGGCCACTGCGGTCCACGCTGCCTCGCCTCGCCGCGCCGACGTCTCAGCGATTGGCCTAGTCGTGCGCCCGCCTGCCTTACCCATCGGTCGTTGAAAGTACATATTCTTGGGTTCCCAGAATCCAATCTACTTTGGGCGCCTTCCTACTTCAATGATCAAGTGGCTTCGCCGTTCCCGTCCTCTTCAGGAGGCGGGCGGAGACCCAATCTATTTCCAACGCCTTAATGTTTCTACCTACTTCTTCCGATCGATGGGTACGTACTGAACCGAATTGGCGCCACCCCGTGCCGTTTTCGGCGGGTCCCTCTCAGTGCTGTCGGGATAATGGGCGCGTCTGGCCAATACGGGAGATCTGGAGCCTACGCCTGAGAGGCGATGCGCTCTCGCTGGAAGGCGCCCCCCCCCCTCGCTGAACATCGCCAGGGCTTGCTCTGCCTCACCCGCACCCCTTCCACTACAACTCCTCGAGCGGTGCTTGCACACAGGGGTCTCTTCCTTTGTTTCTCGGGTGAGGCAGCTGCCACGGTCCCCGCTGACGAGGCCGGCCGTTCCTGCGCGCTCAGGTCGTAAATCTTCCGCCTCTGAGTGCCCCCTCCTCCCTCCTCCTCCGCGGCCGCCCCGTCTGTCTCGTGATGCTCTCCTGCATGCTGGGCAAGGTGCTTCTCGGTGCTTGGCTCCGTCGCTGGTGCAGCCACGCTGCCTCGCCGCCGACCAAAAATCAGGAGGGAAAAGAACACAGAAACAATTAATCGTCGCTTCCCCCGGAGATATGGGAAAACATGGGAAGTGGGGGGGAAGACAAAAACCGAGAAAATATGGGAACATGTGGGGAATCCTGTTCTTTGTGCCTATTGATTTGTGTGTCCCAGGGCCCCTTCGGTTTAGCTCCGTCGCTGGTGCAGCCGCGCTGCCTCGCCGCCGGTGGGTCTGCCGGGGTCGTCGCCCGGTGGCCGCCCGTGGGCTCCCCTCGTGGCCGCCTCGGGGGGCGCCCGCCCGTGGGCGCCGGCGGGGTCTGGTTTCGCCCGGTGGCCGACCCTGGGGCCCATGTGGGGTCAGTTGTCGACTTCCTCCCCCTCCTCCTCCTCCTCCTCCTCCTCCTCCTCCTCCTCCTCCTCCTCCTCCTCCTCCCTCCTCCTCCTCCTCCTCCCTCCTCCCCCCGCGCCGACGCCCCTTCTGGAAGCCCGTTTAGACGGGGCCCGAGAGGAGGGGGTCGGAGGATCGCGCCGCGTCGCCGATGCATCGACGATGCGGCTCGGCGTGGAGCCCGATTTTCCTCACGCCGGCGTCGCGGATGCGTCGCCGACGTCGCCGATGCATCGCCGATGCATTGGCGATTCGGCGCGATCCTTCAATTCCATCTACTCGGACCAAACGTGGTAATGACAGCACCCGGCGGTGAGTCTCGGGCGATTTGCTGTCACCACCCGGTCTGGGGAATTTGCGGTTTTTCGAGGATGCCCCGAACGTTGGTTGGTTCAGCAGTCGCAAGACCAGGCGGTGACCCCATGTCCCGAACCCCGGCTGTGCTTTTTTGGGAGATCCAGGTCACCACTCCACCTGATATCTCACCACCTGGTTTGGGGGCTTCCAAGTAGAGGTTCCTTTCATTCGAAGAACCCTGCCACCCTCTCCCCCCCCCGGGTTCTCGATATCCGCTGGGACACTGCTAGATACATGTGATTCCGTCCCATCGCCCATGTTCCATATGACGTCGCACCATCCCAGCCGGGCTGGCATCGGCACCCCTTGTCCCTGTCAAATACTACCATGTGCACACACGCACTTATCTCAAGAATCATGTGTCGATCATCCGTTGCAAAAAAGGGCAGCGCAAAGTCCACGCGGCAGCATGATAAAAGCATGCCAAGCACATTACTGCTGCAAATGCTTTAACATAATAACCAAAAATGGAGGTTGCTCATCCAGAGTTTCTAGACGCTTCGCGTAAGCCCACCAGCCGCTTTCGCTCCGTGACCGTTGCCTCGGAGCCGCCGACCAAAAAAGTAAGCCCACCAGCCCATCCAGAAACGATGCCCAGGCGAGCTGCTTTGATCTGGGATGCAGAGGAGCATTCAGTGGAATAAGGGGTTGGGGGAAGCCGTCATAATACCCCAAGAGCGAGAATGGAGGAGGAATCGGAGAAGACGGAGAAGGGACGAAGAGGAACGGGCGGATGAGGAAGAGAAGGAGGACGAGGAGGAGGAGAGCAGAATGGCCAAAGGCCTCTTAGATGCCTCTCGGAGTCTCTTCGGATGTCCCTTGAAAGCCTCTGTGAGTCCTATTGGAGCGTCTTGGGGGCCTCTTGGCGGTCCTGGGGGCCTCTTCGAGCGTCTTGGGTGCCTCGGGGGAGCCTCGTGGTGGTCTCTTGGGAGCCTCTTGGGGACCTCTTGGAGGCCTCTTGGGGCCTCCTAGGCGCCTCTCTGGGCATTCTTGGGTGCCTCGGGGGCCATCTTGGAGGAGATAGATCAAACAAGGGAGGGAGGGGGGCTCAATTAGGAGGGCGCGCCGCTGGATGGCCACCACTCACTACTCACTACTCCCTAATCAGCACTCGCTACTCATTACTCACTACTCTCTACTCACGACTCGCCACTCATTACTCACTCATCAGTACTCACCACACTATTCACTACTTTGCGATTCAGCACTCAGCACTCATTATTCACGACCCACTACTCCCCACTCCCTACTCCCGATGCCCTACTCGCTACTCACGACCCACTACTCATTACTCACTACTCACTGTTCACTACGCACTATTCACTACTTACTACTTACTACACACTACTCCGTACTCCCTACCCACCTTCTCTGGCGCAGAAAGGAGAAGCGGGAGAAGCCCCCTCCCCCCCTCCCCGGCCCCCTGTTCGGCGCAAAGGCGGGGAGGGGGGGGGGTTCAAACCCCCCCCCCCCCTCCAGCGCCAAGGGGGGGAGGGGGGGGGGTCCGGAACCCCCCGCCCCCTTCAAGGAGGGGGGGGTTGGGACCCCCCCCCACTTTAAAGCGAGGGACGAGGGGGGGGGTCGAAAATCTCACCCCCCCTTTGAAGGGGGGGAGGGGGGGTGGGTTCTGCGAGCGCGCTTTCCTCAATTAGGGTCCCACCCCAGGAAGCCAAAATTTGCCCACGACCTAAGTCAAGTCAATGCTTGTTGCCTTCTCGCCGAGGACATGTTGGACGCTCCAGCGGGTCGCGGGGCGCTCCGTCCAGGCCCAGGGGAGGTGTATAGGGGGAGCAAACCCCGAACATGGGACGGATTACAACCTCACTGGAACGGATTCCAACAATTTTGGTACCGAGTCCAACCAATTTGGTACCAATTCCAATCGCTTTGGAAGCTCCTTGGAGATTCCTCTGCGATTTCTAATAGATGCCATGTCCTAGCGAATTCTATTTTTTGTTGTACAAAAAAGAGTTATGTTGGGAGGCTGGGACCAGCGCATGTTTTATTGAATGCATATCGAAACCAACGCAAGCGATATCTAAGCATGATGCGGGAGGTCGGGACCCATGGAGTTCCCATCGAAGTCATTCAGAACGCAAATCGAAGTTTGAAGCCGTCTGCGGGAGGCTGGGATTTGCGCATGTCCTATTAAACCGTACTGACAGCACTTAGAATGTAACACAACTCTGCGGCAAGTTAGGGTCGTCGCATTTCCGATTAAGTTCTTGGTTAAGAGCAAGTGGAGTATCAAATACTTGTGCGGGAGGCTGGGATCGTCGCAATTCATGGCACCTTCAGTTTGAATTTTAAACGAATGAACTATTACATAGTGTTGCGGGAGGCTAGGATCAACCCCTTTCCGATGGAGTTTGGTTGTGGAACAAATTGCAAAGTACAGAGTTTTGTGGGATGGTGGGGTCAGCGCGTGTCCTATCGAATCTAGATTGCCAACCAGCTTAAGAAAATTGGATTCTACGGGGGGCGGCTGGAATCAGCGCGTGTCCTATTGAATTACGAATGCCAAAGACATAACGACATAACATATCGAATAAGTCTCCGGTAGACTGGGATCAGCGCATGCCCGATTTAGCTTCGAGTGAAAAGAACACATATAATATGAAATAATTATGCGGGAGGCTGGGGGTAGCGCGTTAGTGACCAAAGCCCCATGAGAAACCAAATAAAACATTAAGCCAATTTTGTTGGAGAGGGGATCGGCGCATGCCCTTCCGAATCCCAAGTGGCAAACAATGATATATGTATGTAGATGTGCGCATATGTACACAATTCAAGAATTATGCGACAGGCTGGGATCGGCCCGTGTGTTATTGATTGCGCATTGGCAAACACATCAAACATCAAAGGACGGCACTGTCTGTTTGGATCGTCGCATT